AACAGCCCTACAGTGGGTGTAAAATGGGTGAGTGAATTGCAGGGCACAGGTGCTGGCATGTGGTGGTGCAGTGTCTCAGGCAGTACCCAGCAGGCAGCAGGACCCTCTGCCCAGCTGAGCTGTTGTTAAATGCGTGTACCATCCAGGGTTCACGGGCCAGCAGCAAGGACAGAGCTCTGAAATACACATAGAAATAGATAGAATTTATATATCTATATCAGTAATTTTTTTTTTCTGTCAGTGAAGCAGCTGTGTGTTTCCCTGGTGTGCTGAGACCCCAGGGGCCAGCCCGCAGTGTTTGTCCTTGTTGGCTGGGGCTGTGTGGGAGCCTGGGGGAGGCAGAAGCTGCTCGTGGGAAGGCTGGAGTGGAGAGTTAAAATCAGAGCCCTGTGCTCAGGCCATGCTACTATTCAGCCATCAGGAATGTGGGCTGGGCTCAGGCTGTGCCTTGCTGCCCCTCTCACACCCTCTCCCCCCTTGAAGAAACATGCATCATTAACCATCTCAGGCCCTGAAATAAATTGGACAAAATATCTGCTTTCTGAGAGCCCAGCACAGCCTGTACACACTTCAGAAAGCACAGCACATACCAAACGAGGTTAAGCCCTAAAATGCTGAATTATTTCTAAAGCTGTAGATATTTTATACATGCTTGTTCTTAACAGATCCCTTCCACATAAGAAGGAGTGTAAAGGCTGGGAGAGTTAATCTAAACTCTGTAATACTGTACTGTTAAAAGCCTCTTTCATGTAACTGTGTTCATGAACTGAGCTTGGAATTCTTAAAAATCCAGATTATTACAAAGGAAGGGATTTGGTGTTTGGCAAATTGACAAAGCCTGCCATTCACTCACCTCATGTGCTGCTCAGCTTTACAGTGAGTCTCAGACAGGGCTCACAGCACAAGGGAGAGCCTGAAATATGTCAGAGGCAATGAAAGAGAAATGCCTAAAGACTTCAGGTTCTGTTATCCAACTAGCTCCCATTTGAAAAGTTCCTTCTTTTTTTGTGCCTCTGTCTTATTCTTACCATCAGATGTGGAAACAGTAAATATACAAACACAGGCAAATACATCTGGTAGAGATAAGGGTTGATTTATGACTACCTGACCAGATTTCACTTGTTGAACTTGTGAATTCAGAGGAATTGTGAAGGCATGACTGAGATGGAAAATTCAACAAAGATTTATTTCATTTATTAATTTTCGGATGTCATTTTATAGGAAGGGATTGTTACACACAGCAAGATGTATTATTGCCTGCTTTAAACTTGCAAATGAGTAACATTTTGTAACTGTTCCTTCAAAATCAGAAAGTGGTGAAAGAGAAAGTAATAGTTTGCTATTTAATAAGATCAAGAGTTTTCTATTTATAAGGAGAGTAATTAAAACCAGCTGAACTAAATGCATACCCAGATTCATCACCACTGATTTCTCTCCAAATGGAAAATCAAGGAATGGTATTGACAGCTCTTGAGCTTCTGTTGGAACCTGCAGACACTGAAATAAGCTCAGCAGCCAAAGGGAAGAAAACAATGCTGTGTGTGCAATATGGCACATAGCTGATTCTATATTTTTTATATCTGAAAATTGCCAGAGTTAGAGCTCCCAGAATTCAATATCCAGAAGCTAAAATGTCCATCAGTTGTTTTTGTTTAAAGGTAGCTTACTTATCCTTGAAAAACAAACCTAGTGTCCTGATATGTCAAACTGGCAGCACCCTTGTGATGACAACTCAAGCAGCAGCTGCATGTAGGGGTTGTGCCCTCTCATTAATTATGCCCAGGACCACCTTCCTCTGGGAGGGAAGAGTTTATCAGACCTGTGGGGCAAGCAGGCAGGGTTTGCCCTGGCAGGTTGGCTACACTGGCTCTTCTTGCTTTGGGCATCAGGTGGTCAGGAGGAGCTGAGGAGGGACGGATGAGAGGAGAGGAGCCAGCCAAGCGAAGAAGCAGAGGAATCATGAGGGGCCACCACAGCTGCAATAGGAGGGCAGAGGTAAGGTCGGCTGCAGAGTGGATGTGTAGACACATTTAGGTGCCTGAATGAAAGCAGGATAGCGGGGAGTGGGAGTGGCTGTGTGTGGGGTGTGACAAGTACGTGCTGTGGAGCTGCTGTAGAACTGGAAAGAAACAGTTTTTGTTGGAAGTGAAGATCTTGGCTACAAAGCATTCCTAGTTTTGGTTGGCTTAGCTGGTGGTGTCAGCTGTTACCTAACCATGCAGGAGGATAAGAAGGGTGATAAAAAAGACCACAGCAAAAAGCTATGATCTTCCACCTTATAAAACAAATCTGAGGATCTCGCTATAGTTTTCCAGCCTTTAGGATCTGCAGTTCAGTTTTTCAGTAGAAAAACTGAATATTTGTTGCTATTCAGCTCTAGGCATTGGTGTTATTAACCACAGTAAATGCAATTAATACAGTCTCTTGGGTTGCTGTATTTCATTAGTTGTTGCTGCTAAAAGGAAGACTTTGAGCTCTTTTGGAGAATCAGGGGAATAATGTGGTAAAACATAGAGCAAGGGACCCTCTTCTTTCTTCTCCCTCTTGAGTAAACAATGAATTTGTTCAGAGTTCCTAGTTGGGTTTTTAAATGCAGAATGATGTGGGTAATCAGCTTGGTTGCCATGGTGTTCCACCTTTGCATCTGATGGTGAGAAATGCAGGCTCTAACAGAACTGCACAAAGCTGCCGTGCCAGTGCCATGGAAGTAAAACAAAGCTTTGTTTTATTGCAAGATACTGTGCAATGCTATGGCCAGCAGCCTGCTCTGTGGCTGCTTGTGTGACATACACATGAACTGAAAGTGAGTTGTCGTTAAAAAAATAATCATGTAAGTCACATACGCCGATGATCAAGTTTTTGCATAGTGCTGCTGAGGATCATCCAGCTACTTGCTTAAAATGAAAATGCTTTGGCACTAAGAGCTGTGTGTGACAATTCTCAGCCTTGTGAGATCCACTGGGCAGATCCTTATTACTTGGTGGCCTTGTCACAGGCATCATGAAAACCTTATAGAAAGATTCTGCAAGTGTTCCCGGTCATGGGCAGGTGTCTGGGGCTGTGTAGGACCACAGGCAGATAAGGAGAGCTGGTTTGCAGAGTGGGCCATGCTTGTGGCTGCCCTCCCACCACCCCTCCCTCACCTGCACTGTGACTGTTCTCAGTCTATCTGTGGCGCTTGATACATGAATGAGGGCGGGGACCAGCAGGGGGTTCAAGCCTGCTTTTTTATTAAACCTGGGGTTTAAAAGTACAAAAGAAGGGCTAAAGGAGAGATTGCAAAGGCTCACACACTTACAAAGCTACATAAGCCACAGTTCTGTTTTGGTACTTGTCTGGGTTAGGTTCAATCTGAAACTGTTAAAATTCTGGTTTAGCTCTGTTGCATCATGTAGGTAGGCCACAGTGCATACCTGTGAGGCTGAATAACACTTTGCCCTAATAAGCTCACCAGCAGTTTAGCTGGGAATTTCAAACTTTTGCAACACAGTGTAGGAAAAAATGAAATTCTGTGATTCAACAAAGTAAATAATGCTGCCATAAGAATATATATGATGTGACTGAACACTTACTCATCTGTAATGCTAGAGCTTTGACAGAGGTGTCTTCTCCTGTGGGAGAGCTGATTAGGCAGTGAGTACTAGCCTTGGGAAAATACTGTTAGCTTCCTCTTCTAACCCAGCTGCTTTCCCAAATAATTCTTCAGGCTAAAAAGTAAATGTATGTGGTGCCTTCTGATGTGACTGCTTCCTTCAAATGCTCTTGTTTGAGGGGGACTGCGGTTTATTTTTGGCATTTACCTGTCTGCTTTATCCATGGTTGGTGTGGTTGTTTTACTGCACCCATCAGGGATTTGACATTTAATCACTGGTCTTGTTGTGGGGAGCATGATGGATGCTCTGCTGTATTGGGATGCTGCTCCTCTGTTCTCAATCTGTCAATGAGCCTAAGTGTTCTGCTTCAGGAAAGATGGATGAGCAGCAGCACTCTGAGTGACTGCAGGGATAATTTTGAGATATATCTGTGGAACAGTTGAACTAATGTAAGTATTTAACCAAACACCTCTCTGCAGACAGGTATAGTTCCAGTTTCTGCAAAAGTGACTCCCTAGCCGCTTATTTTTGAGTGAAAGGGCTGGGTCCTTCCAACCTTTACCTGGAGTGTTGCCCTGCTTTCTGCACTGCTGTACTGGACAGCAGGGTAGAGAAGTTGTTGATGTGCAGCCAGGTATGCACTGTAGAAATCACAATCCGTTTTTAAGCATCTGAGTGGGATGTGTCTAAAGAAGAAAAATTGGGACCAAGGAAAACTTGAGCTCTCCTTAACAAAATGTACCACGTTTTGTGTGGATAAAGCATTTAACATCTCAAACCCCTTTTCTTCCTTGGTAAAACAAGTTGCCTGCTTCAACACTATGCCATTAGCCAGATGAAATGCCATTCATCTCCCAAATCCAGTTTTTGTACCTAGATGCTTCTGAATTTTTTAACCTTTCTTTTCACAGTTGCTTTTTCACCAAATTCTGTTCATGCTCCTGTTTAAAGACAGTCAGTTGACCAACTGCTCTGAGGAGAAAGGACTGGACGGACTTGTGTAGTTTTTGAAATCTCTGTCAGCAAAAAAGTTCTTTCTAGTACTTACGGTTTAGTGAAGTCTCAGTTGTTTCTCATTCTGGTATAAATGCCTTCTACTCGCTTGATTTCATTGTAACTTGAGGCTTAGAGAAATTGATTTTTGGGGAGGGAATAGCTGTCTTTTCGTGCTTTTGTCCTTTGAAAACCTTTAATGTACTTGAGGGCACGAGTTGTCCCTAGGTGCTCTCACCAGCTTAGCTGGTGGGTGCCACACACTGTTCAGCAGCGTGACGGTGCTGCAGGTGTTACAGAGCTTTGACGAGACAAAGAATTACGTGAACTTCTTGTCGTAAAATAGTTACCGCTTTATTGGGGGTCAAAGAGGAAAGCTGACAGAGTCGGTGGGGCAGTGGCGGCGGTGGGTGAGGGCAGGCGATGCCGGGAGCATCCTGGCGCAGGGGACGGGCGGACCCGCTCCCTCACGCGGGCCGGGGCAGCTCAGCCCTCCCAGAAGCCGACGAAGAAGCTGCACAGAGAGTGCCACCGCTCGGCGCAGTAGGTCTCCGCGGCGTCCTCGGTGGGCTGCGGGGCGGGGGCCGGCGTGGCCGGGCCGGAGTCGGGCAGCAGGCGGAGCTGCGCCTCGGGCGGTGCCCGGCCCGGCCCGCACAGGCGGGCGCTGAGCGGCGCTCCCGGGGCGCAGGGATGGAGCCGCCGCCGCAGCCGGGACAGGATCTGCCGCCAGTACTGGTGGCTGCGGGTGCCGTAGGCCGGGCAGAGCCGCGGCTCCCCGCGGTAGGCGCAGCTCCGCGCCGCCCCGCCGCCCGCAGCCCGGCAGCTCAGCCGCAGCTCGCTGGCCCCCGCGGCCGAGCGCAGCTCCCAGCGGCACCGCTGCTGCTCCGGCGTGGAGAACCGGCCCTCCCGCGCCTCCTCCCGGCTAGCCCCGACGGCGGCGGCGGCCCCCAGGGTGGCCAGGGCCAGCAGCGCCAGCGGCATCTTCATCCTCGGCGCCGCGGGAGCCTCCTCGGTGCCTCAGCGACGAGGAGTCCCGGCGCGGGCCCCGCCGTCCCGCCGCATCCTCTGCGCCCTAGGGACACACGGACCGTGCCGGGCGGTGTCCCCGCGGCTCCCACCCTCTGCCCGCCCCGCTGGAGCGCAGCCCCCGCGGTCGCGCCAGCCCGAGCCGGGCGGGGCTCGTCCCAGCAGAGGGGCGCGGAGCGGGCTTGTCCCTCCAGGGTGGGGCTTTTAGCCCTGGGGTTTTTAGCTTGTGTCCGTCCACCCTCCTGCTCCACTGACGGCCCGCCGATGGCTGCGAGGTCCCGGGATCGCCCCGGCCGGGAAGCCGCGACGGGACAGCGCCGGCCGGGAGCTCGCACCCACCGGCTGCGGCATCGCAGCTGCGAGGGTATCACTGCTGCCGCTCGGCTGCCAGACCCGCACACGGGCAACCCGCTACCCTAAAGCCCCGTCCTTCTGCCCCGCACCCGGTTTCCCCCCACACGCCCCGGTGTTCTCCGCGCTGTCCCGAGGCACTCACGGTGCGCTGTGGGCTGGCTGGCGGTGCGGGACAGGCGTGCGCGGCGGCTCCGCGCTCCGGGCTGCCCGCGGCGGGCCCGGCACGGGGGTTATCAATGACCGGGGGCTGCCCCCACCGACGCCCCTCCCCGGCCACCGCCCGCGGGGGACAGCGCGGGGACACGCCGGCAGCGCTGTGCCCCGACGGCACCGGCTGGCGGGAGTTTCCCCACACACGTACGCACAAACACACACACACATACGCTTTGTTCGAGGAACCCGCACGCCGGTGCCTCAAAGCCATCCCGGGACTGCGGCACCCCTGGGAGGTGGACAGAGAGGGTCCGGGGGCCGAGCCGGGCAGCAGCAGCTTGGCTGTGCGGGTATCTCCCCGCGGGGGAGGAGGGGGGAATGGTTGTGTGCCTGGTGGACGAGAATCGATTTATTTGTTTTCCTTTGCTATTGATGGAGTTAAAAGGGATTCTCATTTCAGAAGGAAAATAGCAGTGTGGATTATTTAGGATGGTTACTTTTTGATAATGTGGTGACAGTCTTCTCTACAAGAAGTGTTTTTTAAAAATGCCGGAAGTTTTATGAGAACGTAGACACAAGCTTTATGTTACTGCACGTTTGGGGATGGGAGATCAGACCCCTGTTTCAGAAATCTCTCATCAGAATTAGGCTCTCAAAATCCATGTGCTTCAGTTTCATAGGTGATGAACTTAGCACATCTGTTCCAAATTCCTTATTGTTCTGACTCTATTATTCAAAGATGAAGGCACTTGAGTTACCAGCAACTTCCTGCTGTCCTCTCAGTATTGGACCGGCAGAAGAGCACATCCCCTGCTCAGCACACTGAGCCCAGCCCTGCACTGCAGAGATACTCCTCACCCAGGGCACTTGAAGGGGAGGTGTAGGCTGTCCCTGAGCTGTCACAAGGTTTTGGAAAAACTATTATTAATAGGCATATATATATATAGTCACAGTCATATACCCTATGTATTTATACCCCACATTTACATTGCAGTGGAGATCTTACCCAGACCTTTGTTCTGTTGGTGTAATTTAGTAGCTGGACCACAGCTGTCCTGCAGGGCAGTGAGCCTAGTGCAGACCATGAGCACTGATGCTCACCTCTTGACAGCTGGTGACAGCACCCTCCCTGCTGTGCAGAGGACACCCAATGTCAGCTGCCACCCTGGCCCTGCACAGTGACCAAGCTGTTGACAGAGCAAAGCTAAAATGTAGCCTTCTTTACAAAAAAACGTAAATGTCGCTGTAATGAAGACTGACTTGGACAGTGTCATCTGCTCTAGGCTTTCCTCTTGTGTTGTCTCTCCTTTACAATGACTTCTTCAAAGATCCCCCATGCTTATAGTAGGCTAAAATCTGACAAACCATCCCAAAAGAATGCCTCAGTTACATGTGGATATTTGGAGGCTGTTCTATTTTAAACAAATAGTATTTGCCACAATGTCCCACAACATCCTCCTCTCTGAATGGCAGAGGAATGGGTTTAATGGGTCAACTGCTTAGTGGATGGGGAGTTGGTAGGATGGTCTCATCCAGAGGATAGTACTCAATGGCTTAATGCCCAGATGAACATCCGTGGCAGGTGATGTCCCTTAGGGGTCCATATAGGAACCAATGTTATTTAATATCTTCATCAATGACATAGACAATGGGATTGAGTGCACCCTCCACAAACTTGCAGATGGCACCAAGCTGAGTGGTCTGGGTGACACACATGAAGAACAGGATGTCATTCAGAGGGATCTGGACAAGTATGAGAAATGGGCCCATAGGAATCTCATGTTGTTTAGCAAGACCAAGTACAAGGTGCTGCCCTTGGCTTGGGGCAACCCCTGGTGTCAGTACAGGTTGGGAGATGGACAGGTTGAGAGCAGCCCTACCAAGAAGGACTTGGGGCTGCTAGTGGATGAGAGGCTGGACATGAGCCAGCAATGTGTCCTTGCAGCCCAGAAAGCCAATTTTAACTGGGCTGCATCAAAAGCAACGTGCCCAGCAGGTCAAGGGAGAGGATTCTACCCCTCTACTCTGGTGAGATCCTACATACATCTCTGGTGTCCTCAGGCATGGACCTGTTGGAGTGGGTCCAGAGGACAGCTACAAAAATTGTCAAAGGGCTGAAACACCTCTCCTGTGAAAAAAGGCTGAGACAGTGTGGGTTGTTCAGCTTGAGAAGAGAAGGTTGTGGGAAACCTTATTGCAGCATTTAAAGGAGGCCCATAAGAAAGATGGGGACAAACTTTTAGCAGGGCCTACTGTGATAGGACAAGTTGTAATATTTAAACTAAAAGAGAGCAGATTGAGACTAGATACAAAGAAGGAATCTTTTACAATGAAGGTGTGAAGCAGTGGAACAGGTTGCCCAGGGAGGCTGTAGATGCCACATCCCTGGAAACATTCAAGGCCAGGCTGAACAGGGCCCTTAGCAACCTGCTCATTGCAGAAGGGGGTACTAGGAGACCTTTAAAGGTGCCTCACAACCCAAACCACTCTATGATGTGACTCAGTGGAGGAAAGAGAATAATTTACCTTTCTGTGCAATAAGTCCTAAAAAGGAAAGACTTCTGCAGAGTCTGAGAGAATGACTGCTGGAGAAGAGGTGGGATGTAGAGTCCATTCCCTACTTCAGGGAAGGGAGGAGCATTTTCAGATAGATCTCCCATTTCCTAGTTGCATTGCATACTTGGAGCTCTCCCTAGTTGGTAGTTTGGAGTGGAGGGGAAATGGCAAGGGAGAGAGGATAATGAGAAGGAAATAGAATGGCTTAGGCAACAAACCATAGGAGGGGTTTGCAATCAAGAATTGTGAGTGAAAGCTGGTATCTCCTCTTGGCCTGTAATTACATAAAGAACCATCTCTGAAGGACAAGCTTAGCTGACTGTTAGCTGTGTGTGGCTCCTTTCTCAGCGTGCTAGATTGTGTGTATTGCTTTCACGGGTGCTGAGGACCCCCCATGGGCTGTAGGAGGAATCTTGGCATCGAACTGAGGGCTGTGGGTACCATGAGGCATAAAGAACTGCATTGTGACTTTGAAACCCTCCATGGCTCCAATGAGCACGTGGCATGTCATGTGCCTTAGCTTAGGAGTCTGCCAAACCTTAGAGTTGCTTTCAAATTAAGTTCTGACCACCTGTAATTACTATATATTAGTACAATGAGATCTTTGTCTGTTTTCTACATTCCACTGCTATCATTTATGCAGTGTGAAATGGAGTTGTCTAATACGTTTGAGATCACTTTTATAGCAGTTTATTCTAATAATATCACTGGAGGAAAATATTACTGTGTTTTAATGAACATGTTGCTATTACATTTTTTGACAGATTACATTAAATCTCATACAAGTTATTACTCTTCAGGAACTAAGAAAAGAAACTGAAACAGAATGAAACTTTTCTAGCCTCCCCATACAGTGATTAATCTTCCTTAATCTTCTTTGCCATGTTCTCTTTGTACCTATGTTTACACACACATTTTCCTCCATGATCGTGACTCATCTTTTGCCGTAAAGCAGATGTTAGTCTTTGATACTCATTGCTTCCATATTAATTTTCTTATATAAACTACAATTTTATCTCCCTGATTTGATGGGGATATAGTGGGGGAGGGCAGGAGGGAGAGAAGGATCATTCTTACATTATTTTGTCCTGTGTTTGCAGTTTAAATCTAGTTAGTCTGTGGTGTTGTTGTAGCTGGATTTTGACTGCTCTTTCCCTACTGTCCACCTCACCTTAGAAATAACATTTATAGCTCTAAAAGTCAGCTGGTTATGAAGTTAATTTTGAAAATGTGATCAGTGTGCACTGTGGCAGATATAGTTGCCTTGTTTCTGCAGAGAGCCTGAATCAAATCCCTAAGGAGTTAACAGGCCTGTCCATCTAAGCAAATGACATTACGAGTGTGCTTACTATGTCAATGCTACCAGAAGACTAAACTGGAAGGAATTACAGATATACCATGTTGGATGCAATTTGGAATCTAAAGATTCTAAAACAAATTCCAAGTTAAAGTAAACACTCATAGGACCAGTCTAAAACATGGGATTCAGTTCAATAGAGAGAAGTGCAAGATACAGGTCTAAAACACCTGCACAAATTCAAGATGATGGATGTTGACTGAGTAAAGTGTCATAGAAAAGCGTGTGCTGTATGGGATTCACTGTAGCTGAATGTGAGACAACAGTTGTCCTGCAACTGCAAAAAAGGCAAACACGTGAATAAGAATCTCACCTATAAGACACAGGAAGTAAGGCATTGGCCAAAACCAGGCTTTGAGTGGGTCATTGTATTCAGATTAAGTTTTATTCTTCAAAAAAAGATTAAGATCAACTGAATTGAGTCTGTAAAAGAACACTGAGAGTATCACAGACCTAGAAAACTCGATTTATAATGGAGTGATTTAAACAATGGGCTTGTTAACCTAACAAAGAAAAGAACTAAGTAGGTAAATATGGCAATAGTAAAAATTGAATCT